AAGTTGCCAAGTTTGGAGACCCCTGTTTTAGATCATTGTTCCATCAATCATTAATTATAGCTTGCTTTCAAAATTTGCCCCTTAATTAAATTACCTAAACCAATTTGGACAACATCCTACAAGATGGAAGAAATAGAGAGCAAAAAGATCCATCTGTCCAAAATGGTATAGGGTTTCCTGCCTGAGCAGGAGGTTGGACTTGATGACCTCCAAGGTCCCTTCCAACATTATTATTATTATTATTATTATTATTATTATTATTATTATTATTATTATTGAGGCAGAATGAAATACATATATCAGTTGAAGTTGATTCGGATATCAAATGTTATCCAGATGAATATAAAAGTAAAGTGATCAAGTGAAAGAGAATAAAGAAGAAATTATTACTTATTTCAGGGCTAACTATATTAAATGACCATATTTAATTCAAATTAAATCATGTTCCATTTTTGTCATGGTCCCATCTCCTTCTGAGATCTTGATAGCAAAATAGTATGCCATTTTATAAGCTGTCTACAGAAATTACAGCCTTGGAACCATTAAACAAATGCATTAAATCCATAACTAGACAGCAAATCATCTGTGTTACAAAAGTGAAGATTGGCTTTTTTTTTTTATAAGAACAATTTTATGAGTGACCCATAATCATTACACCCAAGATGAAATGTTCTTCTCTGCAGAAATAACGCAAGCCTTAAGATTAACTGGAAGAATATTTTATGGTATTACCTTCAATCAGTTTTAAGATCTGATATACTAGACTCTTGGTACTAAAGATGGAATGAAACATTGAAAGAATATGAAGGATATTCATTTAAACCTCAGAAGCCAAAAAGTCCACAAGAGTCTGTGGTTCAGCTGTAAAAGACATATAATGAATGAGTCCTGGTGAATTGCAATGGTTAGTTTACTATTTTCAACCAGAACAAAACATTATATATAATTATTATATAACTAAGCAAGGAGAGAAGCAACCTAGAACTAAGGAGAATTTTCCTGACAGTTAATCAGTGGAATGACTTGCCTCCAGAAGTTGTGGGTGCTCCAACACTGGAGGTTTTTAGAAAACGATTGAACAACCATTTGTCTGAAATGGTATAGGATTTCCTACCTGAGCAGGGGGTTGGACTAGAAGACATTCAAGGTCCTTTCCAACTCTGTTATTCTTTTATATCCTCTTCTGAAGTTATCCTCTTGAAATATTTGTATAACTCTACTAGGCAATTACACTTACATGGGGCTTAGATAAGTATCTCCTGGCTCCTGCACCCAGAAATCCTTCATTTCAAATCATGTAATGCAGAGTTTTCATTTAGATTCTTATTTAGAGTAATCAGCACACAGGGCTCAATATGAAAGGGGAATTTCACTTCTTCCTTTCTCACAGCACTACAAAGACCCCAATCTAACACAGCTGACATTTGGTTCCAAAAATGCACACAGCAGCATGTTTTCCAATACACTATCTAATTAGTTTCCTGTTTTAGGTTTCATCTACAGAAATAATTTAATTTGTAAGCAACATTACTCCTTCCATTGGAGTTTTATGTCTGGAGACCCCAATGTAGTGACTTTCTCTAAAAGCAACTCTTCAGTATGTTTGCTCAAGGGTCATGGTAAAGTTATAGTAGAAAAGAATTTGGCCTTTATCCTCTGTCCTCAGTATTGTTTCTAGAAGCAATAGTTTAGTTATTAGTTTTAAAAAGGAATCTCCAAACGTGGCAACTTTTAAGACTTGCAGACTTCAACTCTCAGGATTCCCCACCCTGCATGACTTGAAGTCGCCATGTTTGGATGCCTTGATTTAGAATACTAAAGAAAATAATTTCTGGAACTTCTAGAATAATTTTAACTGGTCTTGCTTTAAATTAATGGATTATGTTTAGAGCAATGTGTGAATCCAGCCAACTGTGGCTTATTTGGCAAACTATGGTCTAGCAATTCAGCCTAGAGGTAACCAATATTCAATAAGCTAGAGAAGCTGTAAGGACTCCAAAGTCTTCCACAGAGAGCAGTTTCACCAACACTTGCCTTGGCTATGGGCAACTAGTTAAAGTTTATAAGTCACCACTTTAACTTTTCCATAATGCCTGAAGTAAATACTATTTTATGGGAAATGTAAAATAGGCATTACAGGTAATCCTCAACTTGCAACCATTCATTTAGTGCAGTGGTTCTCAACCTTTTTAATGCTGCGACTCCCAACCGGTCGTAAGTCGAGGACTATTCAACGGGTGCAGCACCGTTTGCAGAATGGGACTTTTGGCGGGCTCAGCAGGGCAGAGACAGCCTGGATAATTCCTATTGGCTTTTGAAAGCCAATAGAATTAGACTCTATTCAAGAGAGTCTATTCTATTGGCTTTCAAAAGCCAATAGAATAAGGGAGTAGCACAGCTAAGGAAAAGGGGAAAAAATGGCAGACTGCATTGTTTGGCGACCCCCGTGAAATGGTCGTTCGACCCCAAATGGGGTCCCGACCCACAGGTTGAGAACCACTCATTTAGTGACTATTCAAATTTACACTGAAAAAATGTGAGGACAGTGAGGACTTGCACAAAGATTCCTATGTTCCATCTTGCCAATGTATTAAGGATATGCTACACATATTGTGTGCTTTAATTATGGTTTTTTGAATAAACTATTTCTGGATGGATTCACATAATGACTAAATGCAAGCTAAATGTGCAATGTCTGAACCCACCATATTTATGGATGTTAAATGTGTTTAGATTTACTCATCAGAAAAAAATATTATGATCTACTATTGTGCTTGTTACAGAGCTACAGGTTGATCAGAAATCAGCAGATCAGCTGTTTTCATAGTCTGGAGAGAACCACTGACAACAGGTAATGGGATGAGGTCAGACCTATACATAAATAAGACTCAATACCTAAAATCCTACTAATTTCAAAGAGTCTGTTCCAACATTACTGAGTCTTTACATGGAAGTACAACTCAAGTTGAAACTAGCAACCACAATTGGGACCAACAACTCAGTTGTTAAGCAAAACAGTTGCTAAATGAAAAAAGTTTCAGGCAGTAGCTGCAGTCAGATTCTAATCAATTAGTTACCTCTTTTTAACACTTTTAAGGGGATCCTTTGTGGTGTGGGGAAAAAAAAGTAGCTCAGGAAGATATCACTTATTCAAGCAGTTTCCTGGTTTGGGGGGAGGGGGTAGAGAAATGAACAATGCATACCTGACTGTAATGTAATGGTGAACACATGATGGGTGGAGGGAAAGACAGAAAGAAAGAGAGACAGACTGCGAAGGTCATAAATGTGGACTTTGGTCATAAAGTTACTTTTCCATCACTGTCATGAATAAGAACTGTTGATGTCCAGGCAATTGCTAAATGAGGACTACTTAATAGGTGATGTTGCAAACCTAACACAGCTCTTTATTGGAAGCAAAATTTTATTTGTTTTTATCCCATCTTTATTATTTATACAAATAACTCAAGGCTGCATTTGTACATCAGAATGAATTTGCAACATCTTCACCATGTCCTCATTCATATAACCATGACTGAAACCAAGTCCATGCACACAGTTATTCTTACTGTGAACATTTGATAAAAAAATGTATTTGAATGGTAACTAAAAGGCTGATTATATACCATCAGGTCTTAAGTTAAACCCAAGTCCTGCTGCCTCCGAGGACAAGTCCATATATTTTTCTTGGCAACAAGAACTATGGAAGTAATCTGCCATCCCCATTGCTTTCTTCTGCTGACTTCCTCCATTTTTCAGGCTGGACTACATTCCTGGGATTTCCTAGCGGACTCCCATCTATAGCGCATCCCTGCTCATCTTTGTCAAAGTCACCTCAGGGCTGCCTCCGTTTTGCTCAATACCAATTTGCACATCATTCCAACCCATTATGATCCTAAGTACGAACTGCCACTTGTTGCTACAACAGCACCGACCTCCCCTTCCTTATCGACACGTCTTCCAAGCCAAAGAGTTCCCGTTTAATCCTGTGCCTTTTCCCCTTTCGCTCACCTCTGATGCGCCTTTGCATTGTCGGGCGTTCGCGTGATATATTGGGCACCCAGATCAGCCGTGCAATCCTGGTCGTGAGAGCTCCGGCGCGTCGACATTCTTCCCCCTGGAAAGTCACGTGCGTGGAGACAGAAAGCCGTTTAGCGCGCGCGCCGCCCGCAAGTGCCCAATCAGCTTCTCCGGAGGGGCAAACCTGAGCCTAGTAACAGGGAAACACCCCCTCCCCCGCAGACCACCAATCCCTGCGGAGCACGGGTTGCACGGCCGCTGAGTAAGCTTTGGGATAATGACAGCGGCTGCAAATCTAAACTATGAATCTCACCGAGATTTGCATTTGCAGGGAAGCTTATTTCGGGTTTAACGTGCACCGAGTTACGGCTGTAGCATCTGAGCGTTTATGTTCTTGCTATTAAAATCCGCTAGCCTCTATCTGAATCCGACCGAAGTCTCGGGTGCTTTGCCTATGGTGCTTCGTCCGGGAAAGCTTGCAGCCCGACTCGGAAATGAGTTTCATTAAAAAGAAAGATTGGCTCTGAAATTGTGCCTCGAAAGGATTTCTTAGCCAGGTGTAGGATCACGTTTCCTTTGCGAGCAATCCTGAAAAGGAGTCCTATCGATCGCCGTAAAATTCACTCGGTGCCAGATTAATTGCTGGCAAAACGGGGAGCGTGGCTGTTTATATCCCCAGGCGCGGGATTGCCACTAACCTTCCCGGATCCCCGCAATGGGCCGCGTGTCCTTTCAACACGTAAGATCTGCGGCTTCAAGGCGCCCAACTCACCTGCGCCCTGCGCCTTATCCCAGACCACGATGCGCAGGAGGCGCTGGGGAAACTCCGCGCGCAAAAGCGCAGCGCACAAGCTACCGGTCAGCCCAGCGCCTACGATCAGAATCCGCGCCATGGCCGGACCCGTCAGACAAAGGAGGCGGGCCGGTCCGGCCCACCAGATCCTCCTCCCTTTTTCTGGAGTTTATGCAACCCAGAAGCCGGGCGGAGGGAGTGGCTCCCGGCCTCTTTTCCTGTTTCAAACCGCCGATGTTGCTCGCGGCGCCACGAGGAAAGCAGCTTTGCGCCGCGGTTGCCTCCACAAGTCCCAAACAAGCGGTGGGAGATTGGGGGTAGCCGTCAGAAGTCTTGATTTAGCTCAATCCCGCAGAAAAGGCCGAAATCGACTGAACCCCCCCCAAAACGGAGGAGTCAACTTAGCCTTGAAAAGGAACCCCCCCCCTCCCCCGGCTTTGCAGACCTTCCGAACTAAGCAACCTTGGATGGCCGAGTTCCGTCAAACGTTTTAGTTCTGGAAACTGGAAATCTACAGGAGGATTGAAATGGCAGAAGTCGTGATCCGTACCTCCACGCGAACGGTGCATTTCTCAGTGGATTTTTATGCGGGGTGAGACTTAGATGGGTGTGACCCTTCGGAGTTAGAATTATCTCCAACCATCTTTGAGGGGGCGGTGAACGATATGAACGCGAGATTGCCGTCCATGGATAATATTTAAAGTCCCCTGCTTCGAGCAGGGTTTGGATTAGAAGACCTCTGAGATCCTTTCCAGTCCTATGATTCCATGTTCTGTATATACTTTGGCGCTGAAACAGAAATTAGCAGCTTTCCATCCAGTCGCCCCGACTCTACCCCGACTACAGGGTCGTAAAAAGGGAATCTTTTTTTTTCTAATGGAGGAAAGTCCATTGGGACTAAATGGCTATGGAGATTGTTCCAAAGGTGCTTTTTCAAAAGGCAACGGGACTTTATTTTTCCTTGAAGACGTTTTGCTTTTCATCCAAGAAGCTTCTTCAGTTCTGACCTTGGTGTTTGTGTATCTGTGTGTGTGTGTCACCGTGCTACTCTGGACTTGTTTTTCTACCTTGGATGTGGCCGCCCGCAGGGGAACGGGAAGCAAACTGCCATCTGCCTTGTAGTATCTCGCAAAGGATGCAATTTCTGTACAGGTACTCTGCTTCTGGCACAGATTACAACGTTGTGGCAGTTGCTTCATACTGTCATTATTAGAAGTGTGATAATTGGCACTGCCTCTTCACCGCTTCAAAATCCCTCAATCTTCGCCCCTGTACCAAAGGTGCTTTTTCAAGAGGCCACTGGACATACTTGTTTTTCTTTCAAGATATTTTGCTTTTACTCAAGAAGCTTCTTCAGTTCTGAACTGAACTTCGGAAGTGAAGAAGCTTCCTGGATGAGAAGCGAAATGTCTTCAAGGAAAAACAAAGTCCAGGTGCCTTTTGAAAACCCACTTTTGGGGCAACAATGACCTGGATGACTGAAAATCCACATAAATACTTTGCTCCTGTAAAATCTATGTATTCTTTTCATTTTCATTTTTATTTAATGGTTAAAAATGGTTAAACGGTGGAAAAGCATATTAAGGAACTTTGCAAGTCACTCTAAAGACAATGTAATTATAACTAAATGAAAAATGTACAAATGGATTTATTTTAAATAAAATAAATGAACGGAGTGCTGCTATTGTAAATATTGCTTTAACACCATGTTTTATGTTTTACATGTAAAGTAAAACTGACAGTTTAAGACATTTCATTAATTTTATTAGGCATATGAATTAGATATAATTTTAATGAGTGTTTTTATAATATTTTGTTAATTCTATTAAATAGATACAAGTGCATATTTTTATGGATTGCCACTTTGCAATAATTTTGTTATGTGTGTCTCTTAGTAAAATAACCAGTGTTTTATTTTTTTAAAAGGTGAAGACTTAGTGCCCCTTGTCTCTTGAATATAACTAGATATTTAAAATTTTATGTTATAGGATGAGGACAGGGTTAGTCTATGATGGCAGAAAGTTTTGTCTCATAGTTTTATCTGTGTAGAGAATTGAATGAAATAGGAATAAAAGCTTATTATATCCTACAGTGAACTTCTCCCCTGAAGCACATGATCTGCTGTGGGATTTACTGGTGGAATCAGTTGAAGGGGGTTTAAAAAGAGGTGTAGTGTTAGACTTTCAACTGATAAATTGGCTAGAGATAAGATTAAAGATATATAGCTTGTTTGGTTCTTCTTATTAAAATACAAATCCTTTATATATGTACCTTGGAGTAAACTCCATGGAGCAAATGAAAGATTTCTCTCAACTGAATAAAATCTACTACCGGTACTTGGTTTTCAAATATAAAAAGACCTTCAAATGAAATATTTATTATGATCATAAAATAGCATATAAAAAGTTCTTAAGTATGTTTATATGCTAGCTACTAATATTAATAATTCAATCCTTGTTAAAGTGACAATACTATTATCTTCACTTACAGTGTAAAATGAGGTGGTAGCCTGGGGTCACACAATAAACTTTATATCTGATGCATTGTGTACTATTTCTGATGCAAACTTCACATCAGAAGAAGAGGTGAGAAACCTTTGGGTGGGGTTAATTGCATTTAATAACAGTTTTAAAGGTCTCAAAATGCTCAGATTCAACATAATTTTACATTGGCTTGTAATAATAGAAAGTAAAATTCTCACTTGCTTCATATAAAGCAATTTAGTTGTGAGTGAAAATAATAACACTCATGTATATGAGAAATAACCACTAGAGGGAGGCATTGTTCTTCCTAATAGAGCAGACATGTCAAACACAAGGCCAGTGGGCCAGGGCTTTTCAATCTTTTCACCCATTGTACCACTTTTAGGATATGGCAACATCCGAGTATCACCAGTTGCCTAGCAAGGTGTCAAAAACTTGATGACCCAAAAAAAAGTGATAAAAGTACAGGTAGTCCTCTACTTACAACAGTTAGTTTAGTGACTGTTCGAAGTTACAATGGCACTGAAAAAGTGCCCCCAAGCCACAGCCGAGGAAGACACCTGCCTGCCCACCCGCCTGTCCGAGGTTTTCATTGTTGTGAGCATTTCTGTTGAGGATTGGCAGCGGGGGTGGGGTGGGGGTGTTTGGTTTTTATTCCCCCCGTCTGCTGGTTTTGGTCACTTCACATGACCCTGGAACTCTGTGATCGTCATAAATATGAATCAGTTGCCAAGCATCAATGTAAATCACAAGACCCTGGAGATGCTGCAACATTCCAGCTGATCAGCGCTTCTTCTGAGCCCAGCTGGAGCCTGGTGCTGGTCCTGGTGCTTCCGCTGAGCCCTGACAGCCCTGCAGCTCCAGCCATCTCTCACTCAGGCTTGTGCGGTGCTGCCACCGGTTCAGCTCATTCCCCCACTACCACTTTTCTAGGATGGTCACTTACCACCTGCCAGGGGCCAATGTACCACAGGTGTTACCCGTACCACTGGTTGAAAAGCCCTGCCGTGGGCCACTGCTGCAATAGGCCCAGATCCAACTGGTGGGGCCCCCTCGGAAATGGCAACGGACTGGCCATGTTTTAAATTACAGTACAGCTTTCATATTCTCAGGCATTTCAGCCTGAGAATAGATAGTACTGGATCTGGAAGCCCAAAATATCAGGAAGACAAAGTTTGCCTTTTCCAATTTTTCTGTGGTGACACGTTTCTCTGATTCATCCCATTGTGGACTAATAATTGCAAGAGTAACATCCTTGTCAGTTGATAGCTGCCTGATTGAGCCTCATTTGCTTGCTTCTGGCCTCCCAGATTTTGCCATGCCAAAATGAAAAAATCTGTATCAAAGTTGCTCTCAACCTGCTAACTCAAAACTGAAGATGAATCAGTATGAGTGTCATGTGTCTGATTAATGAAACACTTCAAAGAACTTTCAGAAAAGAACCTAAAAAGCCTTTATTAGTGTTACAGAGATGTCAGCACGGCATGGTGGAATGCTAAAATCTGAATCTCCCTTCCTTTGCACATAACATTCCAGCATTTCCCCTCCCCTATTTTGAGGTCATGATTCACATCTTCCAATTAACTTGGAGGGCAAAGATTCACTTCCGTTTCTTTTTCCCAGGCTTTCCTTATATTCTCCTCCCCTTTCCCTGTCACCTAATTTAACTCTAAAAATACCAGACAGTTCTGCATATATTGTCAAAGCAAGAATATTCAATATTAGCAGCATTGACAATGAGTATGTTAAGGGGGGATTTGTATAGGCTTCCTTTGTCTTTCTGGTTACCAGGTTTTTGGTTTTTTGGAGTCTCCTGAATTTTCCAGAATTTCTTCAACCTTCAGGACAGTTATAAAAGGTGAAAAAGAAAAATTAGGGAACAATCATTCTCCAGCATGATGAATGTAGAATCCACCGATGGATAATCTCAGCTTTCCTGCTCAGATGAGACTAAGTTAGAACTTTAGCCACGCCTCGCTCTGGGTGTGTCTTCCCAGTTATTGACTTAGTCTCAGCTCAGTAGGATGCAAAATTTCTGGCTCCTCAGTTAGACTAGGTTAATTATTTAAATTGTGTTCATTAATTGAGAGTTTTCTCGCATTTAAAATCTAAATTTACTGCAAATTATTCCTTAGTCAAAAATTGATTTCAGTTTGGATAAATTATTGAATTGCTGCCCAGGCCTTTAGGCCTTAACGAGCCTGGCAAGCTCCTCAGGAGCTGAAGCCACGAGGCTCGGAAAGGGCTTCTAGCTCCGGTCCAGCTGATCGGCGGGAGCGCCAGGTCGGCGTTTAGATGGTCTGCGGTTTCTAGGAATCCATTGGAGCTCGGGCAGACCGGGAGGGCCTCTCTCTCAACTTCGTTTCAACTCACGAGACTCCATTTGAAGCAGGCGGCTCTTGGATCACAGCGAAGGCAGCGCTACTTAACCGCAAGTGTCCTGGCGAACAGGGGAAAAGAGGCCTTAGGTTAACGTTTGGGATCCCTTAAAGCCCTTACTTCCAGGAGGCCCAAATAGTCTCCTTTTCGCCCTGTTTGGTGCGTATGCCATCTTGGGACAGCCAAAAACAGGCGCGGCCGCCATTTTGAACGCCTCTTCAGGCGCAGATGTCATTTTGAATGACCCTTCAGGCACGGTTGCCATTTTGGATGACTTTTCAGGTGTGGTCGCCATTTTGTAGGGACCTCGTTTTCCTCGGGAGGTCAACTGGGCCTGCTTTACTTGCCACCATAGATTGCTGTGACAGGCTCCTAGTGGGGGGACATTTTTTCAACGCTATCTCTGGACAATTCAGTGCATTATTAAGACCAATCAGAAGGGTTGGTCACCATTTTGGTATTTGCATTGCTCGATCTAACTACTTATTGGAGCGTAAATTTCATTTCTCTCAATACTTGTATTACTCCAGTGAGGGGGAAGTTATATTAGAATCCACCTTTTTCAATTAGTTTGTGACGCTGTGCCACAAGGCCTAGACAGGCAGCTCTAGTGAACTGTCTGGCTGTTTGCCATTGTTGTTGTTCAGAGCGTGGGTTTTTTTCCCTCTCTGACAACCAGATCTGCGTGATTGGGTTTCCCCCCATTTCTGGACATCTACCCGGAATATCCAGAGTGCAATGGCAGACAGTGTCTCGCCCCAGGCATCTCAGAGTTCTGATTTTCCCCTCGCACAAGGAAAGCGCAGATCATCTGATTTGGAAGCGGGGGGAAAGAAAAAGACCAAAACAAAGCACCTATCATCTAAGGAGACTTCCAAAGCAGCTGAGCAAGAGGCCTCGGGGAGACATCAGGCGCTGGAAAGAGAATTCTCCAAGGCCCAAAGGCTCATGTCCAGTGAAGCTGAAGTGGTTCCCCCCGTTCCATTGGAAAGTTCCCCATTTGAGTCTCCATATGCGCCTTCTCATGATGCCCCTAGGGCATGGTCTCCTCAGGGGGAAACTGAACAGGTTGGTCCCCCTCGCTCCTTTTCTTCCACAGCACAACAGGGTTCTGAAGTCACGAATATTCCCACTTCAGCTGGTGTTAGTCCTGTAGACCAACAGGATATATGGTCACATCAGTTCCAGGCTTTCATGCACAATGCATTTACACACTTTATGTCCTCCATGGGTCAACAACCCCCGCAAATACCACCCCCTCCATCCATGCCTGTTTCTCAAACGGGACGT